GTACGGGAAACAGCATAGATCGAGTTTTCACGAGAAAATCAATCGGGCGACTAAACCTCGCGAAATTATTTATACGGATGTATGTGGACCTATGGAAGTCGAGTCATTAGGCAAGAAACTGTATTTTCTGACATTTAAAGATGACTTTTCAAAATTCACAAAGATTTACTTCTTACGACGTAAGTCAGAAGTAATTGAAAAACTAAAAACCTTTTGCCTAGAAGTTGAAAATCAATTTAAGGATAAAATTAAAGAAATTCATAGTGATGGAGGGAAAGAATTCAAAAATAAAGAAGTCAAAGAATTTTTAAGAAGCCAGGGAATTAGGCACACGATTAACGTCCCATACACCCCTGAATAGAATGGTGTCGCAGAAAGAGAAAATAGAACAATAGTAGAGGTAGGTCGGTCGATGCTATATTCGAAACCAAATCTACCGTTGTTTTTATGGGCCGAAGCCATGAAGACAGCAGTACATGTCATAAATAAGACGGGGCCGACAAGACAAGATAAGAAAACACCATATGAACTGTGGTACGGGAAACCGCCGAATTTAGAAAAGTTTAGGGTTTTCGGTACTGAGTGCTTTGCACACATACCTGCGGAGAAGAGAACGAAACTAGACAAAAAGGCTAACAAAGGATATTTGGTAGGCTATTGAGATAACGGACTAGGGTACCGAGTGTACGTGCCAACAGTAAAAAATGTAATATTAAGCCGTGACGTAATATTTAAGCCCGAACTAGAAAATGCGAAATTCATAAAATTAAGTTTACCGAAAATTGTTGAGCGCGAAGATGTGAGTGTGCAGAGCAATTGAGCATGTACGCATGAAAGTGCAGAGAGTGAACATGAAAAACAACCGCATGGAACTAGCGACAATGTGAGACAATTGAGAGATAGAGATAAGATCAAACGAACCGATTTTTATGGTAACCCAGTAACGTACGTAGCGGAAAAATTACCGGTGGATTTTCACGAAGCGACGAGTTCCGAAAAGAAAGAGTTATGGGAAACGGCTATGAATGATGAAATGAAATCGCACCATGATAATAAGACGGAGATTCTTGTAGAAAACCCAAAAGATCAGAAGGTACTTAATAATAGGAGGGTTTTAACGGTAAAGCCAAATTCGAACAACTCGAGACGAATTTTGCGCGACATAAAAGGGACCGCAGACATGGGACTCTTATATACAAAAGCAGGCAGTCTCGAAACCTTTAGCGATGCTGACTATGCAGGCGACAAAGAAACAAAAAAGTCGACATCAGGCGTTGTATGTAAGTATGCGAATGCGGTCATCATATGGCAATGTAAGCGGCAACAATGTGTAGCTCTATCTACGACCGAAGCTGAATATGTCAGTACAGCCTCAGGAGCGAAAAAATTATATGGCTCCAGAAAATATTTCTTGAATGTAAAATAGAGATCCTTAAGTATATGCTATGTGGATGTAAATTAGAGATCCTTAAGTATATGCTATGTGTAGACAATACTAGTGCCGTGAAATTAATTAAGAATCCAGAATTCCATCACAGAAGTAAGCATATTGACGTAAGATTTCATTTCTTGCGAGACATCTTTTTATACACTAGAGGCGAAATTGATGTAACGTATGTAACAAGCGAAGAGCAAGTGGCAGATGTATGTACAAAGGCGTTGCCAAAACCGAGATTTGAATATTTAAGAAAAAAGTTAGGCTTGAAAAGTAAAAAGGATATTAAGAGGTAATTGTTTGTAAACATGTAGAGCTTTAGAGAGGGTGTCGAAGTGATTAGTACTTCTCAAAAAAAAAAAC